GATAAATCTAAAAGGTTTAGTTAGTCTAACATGGTTATATACCTTTTAATTCTGATGTCCATCTTACTTAAATAGTTAATGTAATCATTTAACATTTACTGTATTAAATTGACTTTTTTCTATTCTATTCTAAACACTGAGATATATTTGTTATTGATTTAACGATTATAGCATATTAGATTGTCATTAAAATAGCTTACATATAGAGGGCGTTGTCAGAGGTAGGGTTAAGATCCCTTTAAAAAAAACGGATGTTGTTCACGGACAAACTAATTTCAAAGTGTTATACATGCTATGATAGAGATGAATTTATTTTTCCAACTTGCTGCTTTCATGTTTTTAAGTCGAATAATAAAAATGGCACTCAAATAATAACGTTTCGCGGTGTTTTAGTAGTCCTATAAACGATTATATTTTTGTAGCTGAACAAATGATTTGGGAGAAAATTACTGTTATCGACTTTCAATGAGTATTTCGATGTAATTTCCCCTTTAAAGAAATAAATTGTTCGCAAAAATGAAAACAGTTATTGTGTGTTGTTTAATAATGTGGAATATTCTGTTTGTTCTCTTTGATAGTTAAGTTCAACTATTCTTCCGCCAACTTAACACTGGAGAAATGTCAATTCCACCCCTCTAAAGCAAGTGGGTAGCTACCGCACGAGAGTAGGCAGTGTGCGTGTGGGTCTGCAGTTTACTGCTGTCATGTTCTGCGGCAAGGCCCAAGAGACAGGGAAAGAGAAACGGAAAATCGAATCTCGGGCTGCATAGTACTGCTGTAAAACACTCTTTACAGGGGCTGCGCTAGTGAGAGTACGCAGTTTTATCATTCTTTCTGTAGATCACTTTTGAACTTCTTATAACGTGGTAAGCGTTTACTTAACATTTTACTTCAGCTAGTTCTATTATTTCAACTTATTTTGATAACTGTATATAACTTTACTACAAAAGAAAACGCCCTTAAGTAACTGCAAACAAATAATGAATTACCTAAAGTAACTGCAGGTAATAATGAATTACCTTAAGTAACTGCAAACAAATAATGAATTACCTTAAGTAACTGCAAACAAATAATGAATTACCTTAAGTAACTGCAGGTAATAATGCCGTATAGTGTCTGACAGTTAAATAGTACTGTTTGTTCTAACGACATAGATTCGAGTTGTTACAAGTGTAAAGTACAGACACTCGCTCGCGTCGTTCATGGAGAACAGTGGTCGGGTATCTAAACCCAGGAATTCTATGGTATGCTTCGTCATTATCACTGCAGTCGCTGCTGATAAACATTGGTCGATACATCGTCTCACTGGGCAGCTTCAAAGCCATTAGAAAAGTCTTCTGTAGTATCAACGGTTCTCGCCCGTCGATTTAAACCAGAAAAGAATCTTTGAATTTACCACTATGTCCTTAACGTTACTTAAGTATTGCTTTAATACGAATAATAACGAAAATGTATGCCTTATTGTCTTTCTTCTTGAAGAGATTTTGGCCTTAACTTGTGTTTCAAGCTATTAGTCTGTAGGACGTCCCACTCTTTAGTAAAGTTGTGTACATAAAACCGTTAAGTTTGTTTAGCTAGACTAATTGTTACTAATTCATTAGTGCATAATTGCTAAGCTGTTGTCATATTGATTGAAAACAAAAAAAAAACACTTAACAATAATATCTAGACATGGGAAACGAGGCGAGTCAAGAACAAGGCACAGATCAGGTTGATCAAGTGCCAAGTGGACAAGCTTTTCCGGGACGACCCCAAGAACAAACACGTGTGGGAACGGGGTTTGTTCCAATGGGAGGGCCTCCTCCTTCTCAAGACTCTCAACAACCTCAGCCTCCATTAAGCAGACCTAGAACTTTGGAAACTATGTCACATCAACCAAAAATGGCGGCAAAGTTTCAAGTCATGACCCCAGCAGCACCAGAAGTTGACCTCAGTGACCTTTCAGAAGCAGAAAGGGCCCAAATCTTATCAGTGATGGCACAGGCAGAGCACATGGACAAAGATTTAGAAAAACACAGAAAGTAAGTATTTTGGTTTTCTTTGAACATCCACATGATTTTACCTTTGTATCTTAATCAAGAATATTAATATAGAATTAGGTTTCAGGAAAGTGTAATAATCAATTTTTGTAGAACGAATGCAAAATATCATGATATAAAATCTTCATGGGGCTCTTCAGTCTGTTTTCAAATTAACTTGAGCTTTTTGATAAGTCTATAATTGTTTCTCATTATACATACACATATACTAAGAAACACGAGTAAACTTAAACTTTAATTCACTTAATACTTTTAACAATTATATACTGTTTAAGATGGCATCAGTTACAGATTTGTACATCCAAGTTGTCATATCACCAGTAAAATGGACGAGTGGTAACACAAAAATTCAAGTCCCAGTAACAAGAAACGCCAAAGAGACGTTTAAGTTATCTTAACTAGAAATGCATCTATCTAAACCTTAAACAGGGTAATAATAATAATTGACAGAAATAATACATTTATATATGTATATGACAGCAGCATATTAAAAGGCATAATTTCACCAAAAAAAAAAGAATGGTGTATATGTTTGTGATTTAAGCAGCACGAAACTTGATATTACTTTTGGAAGAAATTTAAATTTCATAATGCTGAATATATTTAAAGCGATATAACATTCAGCACAATAAGTCTGATGATCATTGGATTACATCTGTAGTAAAATAATTCATAAATGCATCAGTTTTAGTTTATTTCATGAACTGATTCAATCCACAGGGACCGTATGGTAGAGCTTTAAGCTAAGAATGCTTTATAAGAGTGACGGTTTATCTCTTGTTGTAGATGGTAGGTGGTAGGGTGATGCTTACTGGTTATCTTCCTTCTGGTCAGTAGATTAAAATTAGGAATGGAACCAGATAGTTTTAGTAACTTTGTCATAAATACTAGCACTCGATACCACAAAAGACAATAGACACATGCGATTTCTGGCTTTCAAATCTTACATACAATGCACTTATTTTCATACAAGAGGATTAAAATTAGCTAGAATAAAGAAATAAGGTTGAGAAAACTGAGTTATAAAAGCAACTAAAAGGTGCCTTTACGAGCCTCTTTACTTGGACAAGCACATTCAAAAAAGTTTCGTCAAAACTGAAAGATTCTTTCTGGTTTGTATGCTATGAAGTGAACAAAGATAAGTCTCTCATAGCTTTGTTGGCTGTACTTGAATACTGGCTATACACGTAGCACAATTTGCTGGTGTAGTATGCAGGCTTACTATGTGTTTTCCATCCCCCCCCCATTCAACATGAAATGTTTTCAAAAGTTTATTAATACAGCGTATGTAGATTTAACATACAACTTCGGTCAAGGAGGTAGCTGAGTTCATTTCACTACAGTAACCTATTGTTGTGTGTCATTCACCTATGGTACCATTATCGTGGAAAACATTTTTGTAAAGCAGAACAAATTATAACATGTCATTCATATTTAAACAGAAAGATAGCATGTACAAGAAAATTTAAACGCTTGCCAGCCATGCAACTTTTATTACTGATATGATTTAAAGATGAAGCTTATTTATCAAAGAAAATTCGAACGCTCGCCAGCAACCTATTCATATTATATGCGTCATCGTGTCGATAATTCAGTATTTTAGACGTCTCTTTTTTAGATGCATATACATTTTCTTGACAATTAATAAAATCAATATTAGAAGAACTATAGATTGTATATCGTATATACTGAAGCATTTCTTTTTTTTTTGCGTTATTGCCTTGTACTGAGTTTATTATATCAATATCTTATTATCAAATAAAACAGTTTGGTTTTGTTATTTAAAATTTAAAGCGCGCATAACGCAAAACAAAAATACAATTTCAAAGCACATTTGTTTGTTTTTGAAATCGCTGCGTAAAATGGGAAATTTTAGCTTACCCAACACGAACAGACATGTCGCTTTTTTTACACTTGTTTGGTCAAAAAGATTCGATGATTGATGTTTTTACTAAAGCTTTACTTTGAATTTTCTAAACATATCAGAATCCATGTGATAAAATCTTGTCTTGATTTTATTTTCAACCATTGCCTAGCTTGTTTACCAGGGAACTGCAATAGGGCTTAGAAGTTGTAGGATGTAATGTATGGGGGCGTTGGGTTTAGGTATTTGTATTAGATTTATGCATTGAGTTTGAATAACACGTATAAAGGGGATGTGTCACGTCACATTAAGTATACTTGTACTTAAGTTAATCAATAATTAACTTCACAAAACAGATACTAACAATAGATTCAAGAAAACTATGCGGTTTTCGCCTCATGTTCGAATCAAAACAGTTCTGATATAGTTGTCATGAGGTCTATGAAGACGTTTTAAATTCATGTGACGTACAATTTTTACAAATATATATAAAAATACTGTAATGAATAAACTTCAAAAAACCATTTCATTATAGAAAAAGCATTACCAGAAGCATTGTCACGTGTTAAGAGTTTTCAAGTAAGGTCGAATACATAAAATGTTATATATTAAAAAGTTAAAATATCATTAGTAATCTTCATTTTCCAGACTCAAAGTTTTTTTTTTGTGTGCTTTTATCTAATAGTTTAAATCCTAATATACCAAAGATGGTTCGTTAAAAGGTAATCTCCAACACGTGCAGCTGTATATTAATTTCATAACCATGGTAACAGAACAAAAAGGAGAAAATACAACCATTACGCCCAACAAACAAGTTCTGGACAAACGTGCTACTCACACACTTTCATGTTGCTCTATAATATATATATATTGGTGCTGTAACACGACATCGCTATATCTTGCTATTTATCTATCGATATAAATGTTTGGTTTTTAATCAATCTACCGTTCTAAGTGCTTTGCATTTACTTTTCGCTTTCGTATATAAAAATCATATTTGTTTATAGCTTATTTTATTTAAGTAGCTATCTACCTATTTGTTATCTCTCATGATGCCAATGTTTCTTTTTTAACAATGCAGAGACGATCGAATTCGCCATTTTTTTTACTCTACCCCGTAAAACAACAAAGAACCTCAAACAACTGATGCTGTACTCTGAAATTTGAGGATATCGTTTCGCAAATATTGGTTAACTAAAGAGGAAAAGAACAAAACGATTTGTAAAACTGGAAGCATTATTCTCGAAATGATTAATTAACTTACAAGTCTAGAAGTTGTTTGTTTGTTTGTTTTGCTGTTAAGCTACACACTGGGCTATTTGTGCTATGCTCACATCGGGTATCGAAACCAAATATTTAGCGTTATAATCCCTCTGACCTACCGCTGACCCATTGGTGGGCAAAAGCCTAAAGGAATAATTCATTTACTGAACCTCTTTAACCTCATCTATTCAAGCCGATCTCATGGTATTTCGTTCACTGTGACCTCAGCAGTGAGTACAACACGTTTTGTCAATGTTAGGACGTACAGAGTTGTTCTGTAGATGGAATTATAGAATTCAAAGTGCCATCTCGTCATAATATCCGAGTTATTTCATTGTTAAAGTTATTAAAAACCTTACTTTATGATCGTGGTGTACCATTTTTCAATATTTTTGTCGTTTTGGCATCTACCACTTTCGTATCTCGCTGCAATTTTCAGCATTTATCGATCTAATCTATAATGTCCTGAGTCCATTTTTATTTGTGGTCATTTGTTTTTAGTTTAGTGTAGAGTCACACAATAAGCTATCTGCATTGCTTCCACAGTGGGAATGGAACCCGCAATTCCAGAGTTATAAGCTTCGCATGCTTAGTCATCAGAAGACTACTTTTTTCTAGCTTAGCACTTTCCATGTTTTAAATCATTTAATTGTTTTTATGAATACGGTTATTTGAATATTAATTTTTTTTTGGAAAATTGTTGTAATGGGTAATGAAAATATAAAGAATTTATGAAAAAATGTTATATTTATCCTAGGTTTACATTTTTTCACATGTGATACTCAGTCGCTGTAGCATCATGTTCTGTGAATCACATGTGATAGGGTTGATAATAACTTAAAACAGTTAAGGATTGAGGAATGTTAAATTATATATATATATTGTGCTGTAACACGATGCATTTTTTCTGATATAGTAGAAAATCAGCTTACACAAGGATTGTAAAAACTCACTGGCCTGGTGGTTAAGGCGCTCGACTCGCAATCTGACGGTCGCGGGTTCGAATCTCCGTCACCGAACATACTCACCCTTTCCACCGTTTGAGCGTTTATTGTTACGGTCAACCCTACTATTCGTTGGTAAAAGAGTAGCCCAAGAGTTGGCGGTGGGTGGTTTTGACTAGGTGTCTTCTCTCTAATCTATCACTGCTAAATTAGAAGGGACTAGCGCAGATAGCCCTTGTGTATCTTTGCGCGAAATTCCAACAAAGAAAATCTAAAAACTGACGTTTTAATTATTTTGGATATGATGGATGCGTGTAAGTTTTCAAGTGTAGTCTGATTCTTCTGTGTCCTAACTTTAAAAAGAGCTCATCCACAATTCGACACTTTCAAACCTAGATACTTATGGATCTGAGTGTATATATACACATCTTTTTATCAGCGAGAAAGATTTTATCAAGCCAACTATATCAGGTTTACTTAATACACAAGATTAAATTAGTAGCAGCTACTGATATAGTTACTCGAATATTTATTTTTTTATTAAGCAGAAAATGTACATATTGCAAATCCATCGAAATAAGATAGGCTATTTTAAAAGGTGATTTCGTTTATTCACTATTTTTAGCGAAAATAAATATGTCACCTCTAAAAATCATACGTGGCTACATACTGGCTAGAATTTTTAAATGCATGTGCACGTGCACCATGACGCAAAAGGATTATTCCGCACGTTATTTATGTCGTTTTTTTTATGATGTACTTGGAATTTTACAGCTTAAATCAATAAGGCTCCATAAGTATGGTTTTTTCTTGTTTTAGTTATCATAAAACTAATAACGTTCAATTTATATTCACAGGCGTGAATTGCATGTTATATGCTACATTCATTAGGAAGAAATGTATTAATTTCT